CCCCCCCCCCCCCCCCCGCGGTTGCAAGGAACCGATCCCACCTCTCTCCGTCCAGCCTTAGGAGAGCTTGGCCACACACACCGCCAGGGCGATGGCCATCAGGAGGACGGCGGTGAAAATGATCCCGGCCAGGACCCTGCTAGGATCGCAAAGGCTTTTGTTCTCGACCCCCGAGACGCCGCCCAGGGAAGAGGCGCCCCCGCTGAGGTTGGCGTTCAGCTCGGCGCCCGGGTCTTGCTTGGCCTCGACCGTCCAGCGGGGCACGTTGACCTTCATCTCCATCTCGTAGATCATCTCGCCCACCTGGCCGATCTCCTGCTCCAGGTCCGTCAGGTCCAGCACGTCGATGTTGGCTTCGGCTTCGTACTTCATGTTCTGGACGCTCATGGCCCGCGCCGCCACGCCGGAGGTGCCGCCGCTCAGCCCCGTCTGGATGAGCGGCTTCTTGGGCACGTGGAGCGGGAAAGCCTGGCCCAGCTCCAGGGCGCGCCGCATGTCGCTCTCCAAGATCTCCAAGCAGGCCGAGAAGATGACCCAGAGGCGCTCGAACTCGGGCCGCTCCTCCCGGCTCAGCGCCTTGTCCCGCAGGGCGGCCGTCAGCTTGGTCCGCGTCACGCCGGCCAGCTCCTGCGCCTTCCGCCGGCTCTTCTTCAGCTCCTCGCGCAGCTCCTGCGAGTCCGTCGCGCCGCCGACGGTCAGCACCAAGTGCCGGTAGCAAGCCGTGACTTTGCTGAGCGCGTCCAGCAGCGCCTTGCACTCCTCTTTGGCCATGGCCGGGCGTCAGGCTCAAGAGCGCTCCGAGCAACCTCGCCCGCCGGACGGGGAGCGCATGGCCGGAGTCCGGAGCAGCCCTCCTCGCTGCTGCTGCTGCTGCCGCCGCCCTCCCCGTGGGGAGCCCGGGGGCGCCTCCGCCTCCTGACCGGCCCTGCGCGCACTCCGGGCAAAGCGTGGCGCCCTTCCTCGCCCTGCGCGCATCCCCGGGGAGGGAGAAGCCGGGGAAAAACGAGAGAGAGAGAAAGAGCCCGAATGCAGCTTCCCAGGCGCGGCAGCGGCGACCGTCTCCTTTAAGCCCGCCTGGGAAGCTCCGGGCTGGGCGCGGTCCGGGCGCTTAGGGTTAAATAGCGCGCAGCTGGCGCCGGCGGGACCATCCCGGGGAGGGGAGTCTCTTTCTACCGCTGCTGCTCCTGCCGCCGCTGGGTCGGCTCGGTCCCCGCCCCGCCGCTGCCTCCCAAGCTCCACCTTCGCCGCCTACCCAGCCAAGCAGACGCGCCGGGGCGGTTGCGACAAAGCCGGGGCTCATTGGCTCGCCTGCTGGGTAGGATCCGCCTCGGGGCCCGGACTAGGAACGGGCGGCGCTTGCGGGGAAGGGGGGAGAAGGCTGCGAAGAGGAGAGGTTGGGGGGCTGGGGGGGGGCGCAGGAGAGGGGATGCCGCCGTTGCTGCTGCTGCTGCCGCCACCGCCGTGGGGAAGGGGCGCAGAGGAGACCCTCGGGGGCTTCGCCGGAAAGTGAGCGTTGAACGCCCGCTTGGGCCGGGCGAGGGAGGCGCGGGTTGCAAGAGATCGGGGTGCCTCGTTGAGGAGTCGGGGGGCGTCCCGGGAAGCCCCCTTCCCCTCCGGAGGGTGGGTCTTGCTCGGGGCGGCGGAGAGGGGAGGCTTCCCGGGGCTGCCAGCAACCCAGCCTCCCTCCCTCCCTGCCTGCCTGCCTGCAGGCCTCCGTGCCCCTTCCCCGAAGCGTGCAATGGCTCGGAGCCCCTGGCCCCAGAAAGTGCCGCTTCCCCCGGCGGGAGCTGAGTTAGCAAGTTAGCCTTGCCTGCACGTCGGGAGAAGCGAAGGTCCGGAGGGGGCTGCCTTGCCTGCTGCAGTGCCTGGGGTGGGTGGCGGGGTATCCGGGGCCTGAAAAGCCCTCCAGGGCAGGCTTTCCCCGACGGCCGGAGCGGGGGCGGCGGAGGGTCTCCACCAGAGCGGGCGAGGAGGGGAGCGAAACGTCGAAACCCTCGGCGTTCCCTTTGCAAAGGAGACGCGGCCGGGGGGAGGTTCCGGGCTGGTTCCTGGCGGGGAGACTCTCCCGGGTTGGATGCGAGGGGTCGTTGCGCTGCGTGGTTTCCTCGCCCGGGGCCCTTTTTCCTGTGCATGCCTCGGTTTCCTCTTTAGACGGGGGGGAGGGAGAAGAGGAAGGTTCGCGCGTGGCCACTGTGTGGGGCAGCTTGTATTCGGGGCAGGAAACGAGGAAGTTTGCACGTGGAAGTAAACGGCGGTGTGTCTCGGACGCTGCGATGCAGCATCGGTATCCTGGCCTTTCCTCACTAATTGAACCTGCAGTTGTGTGTACTTAACTAACTCAAAAGTAAATGATACAGGAGTTCAGGCTGGCCGACCCAGGAAGTGACTTTAAATGACTATCTAGTGGGGTGTTTTTCAGTAGTGCACTGGGAATATTTTTTTTAAAAAAGTTCCTTTAGTAACTCCCACATGGAGCAGCTAAAGACACTCGGATTAATTCGGTACAGTAATACAACATAATCCATAAGTGTTTTTTGACCAGGGCAAATTTTAACTTGGTGGACTTCAACTCCCAGAATCCTATGCTCGCAGGGGAATTCTGGGAGTTGAAGTCCACACAACTTAAAAGTTGCCCAGGCTGGAAAAACACTGGTCTAAGAATGGGACCCCACTGGACTTTTCAAATTAGTTTTCGCTTCACTTAAAGGGCTGAATTAAGACCCAAAATTGCTGGAACTTGACCCAATCATGTAGCACATGATTTAATCCCCTCTGATTGAGTATGGTGAGTGTTAGGCTGAGTGGTGCTTGGCCTCAGATATGGATTTGGGTCTCTGTGTGACAATATTAATTACAATGTTTTTAGTTATTCCTCAGGATTCTGTTCAAATTGCAAGGAGCCCAAGCATGAAAAACCCTTTTTTACAAAAGGCCCAAAATGTTGCATTAACTTTACCCACCCAGTGTGACATTTGCTTGCATGGTTCCTCTTTTCTGTTTATTGCGAAGTTTTGGCCTAGTTTCTGTTCCTTGCGCATTATCTCTGGGTAATGTTTAATTTTCCGATGTACCCAGTTTGATTTGATTAGGCAGATAGAAATAATGTCAAAACTGTGTCTTGTAAAGGACACGTTCCTGGGAAGGGAACTATGCAGACTCTAGATGTAGATATTCAGCAACTCAAACTTGTTCGAGTGGACATACAAGCACGCCAGGATACTTCTTAATATCTAAATTGTATCAAGTCATGTGCTTGTGGTATATGGGAACAGCATGGCACTGTATTTTATCATCTAACTTCCTTGGCCAGAGATGTTGACAGTTAAGTTTGAAGCTATGCCATAATAGTGCTAGCTGCACGATTAACACATTTATTTAAGTAGCCATTGCTTACAGCTTTATTTCTCAACCTTGACACGGCTATCTGGAGAATTCTAGGAGTTGAAGTTTACACATCTTCGAGCTACCAAGGTTGAGAAACACAGATTTACAGTGGTGACTTTGCAAGTGCTATAGATAACTTCGGAACTGACTTTACTACGGAGCAACTAGATTAGTGTTGGGAGTTGAAGTCCAGATATCTTAAAACTGCTAAAGTTAGCAAACACCTAACTAGATTTAATCTTGCATACAACACAGAAAAAATCCCAGTCAAGTGATTTTCCTTCTATATACTAACCAGACTTAATTGCAGTTACAGCCTGAGTTTAAAAGCTGGCCTGTTATTACCAACTTTTAATGAGTGCAGGAGTGTCCACTTTTTTATCTAAGGAAAGTAGTGTGCAAAATACTCACTCTAAGAGCTCAAGGTCAAAATATTTATACAACTTACCTTAACTGGTGGAGAGTCATTGTTTCTTCCCTATCTTATCCAGCTACAATAAACAGATGATCTGTTATCTCATATTAATTGGCTCTAATCAGCAAAAGCTTAAATTTTTGCTCACGTGTGTCTACTCCAAATTAAAGTCGTTCTGCTGCATGAGAGGGTCACATTGGTTGAAAGTTCCCCAAAAGAGCAAGAAGTTCCCTCACAGAAAACTTTCTTGGGGGGAAGGGACATAGTTTTATGGGTTTTTAAACAGAAAATTATTCCTCCCTTTGGATTCAGTGAAACCAAATGTGCCATTTGGACCTTATGGGCTGAGCAAAGTTTTCATTGTATTCTAGTTCTTATTACGGACTCCTTGGTGCTGTCTGATCTTGCTTGCTTGCTTGCAGATGCTTTATTACTCAGCTAGGTACCATGATGATGTTACCCTAGTTGGGTAATGAAACTTCTGAAAGCAAATGACTCCTTTATAATTTGGAATTAAAACAGTATTCTTTGCACGTGGAGAGCATCCAGGACTCCACCGTTTAACCCTAGCTACCTATATTCTCTTCTTTGGGACTTTTCATTATGTCCATTATTTATGAGTTTATTTCACATAATAGGCTGCCGAGAATAGTGTCTTCCCCCCAAACCTTTTGGGTACCATGGACCGATTCCATGGAGAGAGGTCTTTCCGCAGACCGGAGGGAGGGGCATGGTTTCGCGTGTTGCCTGCACCCCATGGGTGGGACTTCTCTTGTTTGAGCAGCCTGGTTTCCAGCATGCCATGGATTGGTGTCGATCCGGGGTTCAGGACCCCTAGCCTAGAAAGATTGTACAGTTATGAGTTAGCTATAAAAGGAGTGTCAGTGTTAGAAGCCAGGTAAGGGTGTCCTTGTTCTTTCACCCAACTTTTGAATTAGTCTATGGGATTGGGTTAGAAGACTATCTGTTAATTGATAGTGGGGCCTGGATTTCAACTCTGCAAGAAATCCTAAGGAATCGACTCGGTTGTAGGAGTTTTTGAGATCCCAGGACGCATTAATGGAAGGGACCTTGGAGGTCTTCTAGGCCAATCTCCGTCTCAGGCAGGAGACCCTATACTGTTTGAGATAAATATGTCATATAATGAAAGGGACCTCGGAGGTCATCTAGTCCAAGTCTCTGCTCAAGCAGGAGACCCCGTACCGTTTAAGATAAATATATAAAATAATGAAAGGGACCTTGGAAGTCTTCTAGTCCAATCCCTTGCTAAGGCATTAGGTTACCTTGCTTTTATTTTAACAGAAAGATCAGCTCAATTGGGGCATGGTAAACTCCCTTCCATTGGATGGTTGAGTCTGGATTCCTACATTGATCTGGGAGTTAAGATGCCATGGCTGAAATGATCTCTTTTAATTCTGATTCTATGAGTGGTGGTGGATTCAACCACCGCCCTAAGAAAATTGTGGTGTGATGTAATCCTAACCCCCCCTACTCTTTGCTTGTTTTACATACGTTTTGGCTACGCTATTTAGATACACAGTGTTGCAATGGTCAAAAGGATACTTCTTTTGTGGATTTTATCTTCCATGGTCACCGTGGAAAACGTTCCAGTCAACAGAAGGAAAAATAGGTCATGCTTTACGTGTTGCATTACCACTGCAAAGTCAGAACTTTAAAATAAATCCCCCAAAAATATGTTTTGCTGCTGTGCGTTACGAAACCTGTTTGTAATGGCAGGTAGGCCAGAGGAGTTGATTGTAAACAAAACCTGCTTGATGTTTTGTGACTCTTCTCATGAAGAATTGGAATGTGCGGTGATGAAAACCAGCATGTGACCAAAGAGATTTTGTAATGTGCTGCTTGTGCTTTAAAACTTCAAAGGGCTTGTGGTCATATGTTTGCCAAGCCAGGCTCGTTCTGTGTAGAAAGTTCATAGAATAGAAGGTTAAACTATTTTTTCCATGTATTCCAAGGATGCAATATTTCTAAGGCTAAGGAACCGTGATGTTACTGTGGCGAGTCTTAATACTCCAACAAGGCAAGGAAACGATTGGGACAAGAGCAAAAATTGATATTGATGTAATTTATGTTTGCTGGCTATTAATGCTGTCTAACAGCCACTAAGTGCATAGTTTATTTTTATATATTTGTTACCTTTATATGCCGCCTATCTCACTCTTGCAAAGTGATTCTGGGCAGCTTATTATAAAAACCATAGATATAAAACTGTTCCCCCTACAATCATTAACATTGCAATTCTATAGCCACTTTTTTGAGGGGCTTTGAAAGCCATGTATAAACTTCGGAGCATCAGGGTCTGCATCCTTGACTTAGTTCAATTTTGGTTTTCTCCAGGTGTTTTGGACCATAATTCCCATTGCCTCCACGGAGCAAAATCATGGCCCATGTTGGCCGAGATGATTAAAGCTAGTCAAATAGATTTGAAGGGGTAATGGAATATGTAGATGATCTCGGGGTAAGAGTAGATGTTGCCCTGGAAACAGAGAAGAGAGGCAGGAGCCCCTAATGACTTAATGGTCAGAGGAAAAAAACTTAGGAAAGTCCTGCCCTGCCCTGTTAAAAGTGGTGATGAGAAGTTTGTGTCTTCAGACTGGCAAGATTTTGTTAAGCCTTGCAATAAAATAGAAGTAGTCCATCTAATTGTGCTTCCTGTTTATCTGGGAGGGCTGACATCAGGACACAAAGTTGGAGAACTTAGAAAAGGGGTCCCGAAACTTGGCAACTTTAAGACTTGTGGACTTCAACTTCCAGAATTCCTCAGCCAGCTATGCTGGGAGTTGAAGTCCACAAGTCTTAAAAGTTGTCAAGTTTGGAGACCTCTGGCTTAGAATCAAAGTCTACCCCATGAAAGGAAGAGAGACAGAATCCTGATCCACCAACATTTTCTTGTAATGGGAAAGTTTCTACAGGAAATTGTGTAGGTACCATGTTAGTGGAGCAATTGCCACAATAATTTTCTCTGTGGCAATGCAAGAATGCCACCAAACAGTAATGGTACAATCCTCAAAGAGAAGATCACTCTTGAAGTAGGAGGCAACACCTAGCAACTTGACTAATTAAAAAAATATTAAGAGTTGGATCTGGGTATAAGTTGGGAAACTACCAGAAAATCCTGAAGTTCGAGAATGGACTGAGAGATTGGAGGAAAAACCATATCTCAGAAGCAGGAGCTTCTGTATTACCAAAGAACCCTACGTGAATGTATTGTCAGTTGAAATTGAGAAATTGGATTTGCTTCAAGGAAGTCATTATATTTATCTACTACCAATAACATGCTGTAGCATAACATATTTTGGATAAAAGAAAGCAGATGCTGCATAATAGTAGAATAAATAACTTCTTTAAAAGATAGTAAATTCTCATTTTGGTAACAATTTTCTTTGATTATGTTGCTTTGAATTTGATTATTTTTGGGGTTGGGGGTTATGGATTAAGTTACAGAAAGCTGCTGGGCTGGATATTTTGGTGGCACCTATGGCTATGTATGATGAAGATATCTTGAGGAACCCCTTCTACTTAACCATGCAGAAACGACGACCGGATCTCTGCAAGAAAGTTGCCGAATTCCATGGAATGGTAAGTAGATTAGGATGGCTCCCAAGATTCTCTTCTGAAAGGGCCAAGAGTGAGCATTGGTTTCATCTAGGACAGGGTTCTCCAACCTTGGCCACTTTAAGCCTGGAGGACTTCAACTCCTTTGCTAGCTGGGGACTTCTGGGAGTTGAAGTCCTCCAGTGGCCCAGGTTGGAGACTCCTGATGTAGGACAATATTTCTCAACCTTAGCAGCTGTGTGAACTTCAACTCCCAGAATTCCCTGGCCAGTAAGGGAAGTGATCTAGGGACAAGTTTATTTAAAATACTTATGTACCATTTCCCACTGTAACATCAAAAGGGTACTTTTGTGTCTGATCTCCATGGGGAAAGGACTGGGCAGGTGACACTCTGTGTAACTGAGGTATCACAGGGCTGTTAAACATAGCTTCTATGATTAGAATAATTTTGAGAAGCTTCTTTAGCAACTCTGCTATGGAGCAATTAAAAGACACTCAGATTAATTCAGTACAGTATAATCTAATCTATGTTCAACCTTGGCCACTTGAAGATCTGTGGACTTCGAGTCCCAGAATTCCCTAGCCAACTTACCATTCTGGGAGTTGAAGCCCACATATCTGCAAGATACCAAGGTGGACAAACACAAATCTAATATATGCTGGTCTTTGACCGCAATAATGGTCGACTGATTGATAATCTAAAAATAATTGGTATATATTCCTTGGTGCTCTTTGTTCTCTTGGAGAACGTGCACTCAGCCTTTTATTTTCTCTCTCAATTTTTGCAGAAATTGGAGATAAACCAGTAGGTTACTAGGCCCTGCTTATTCTTCATAGTTAAATAACAGAGTTGGAAGGGACCTTGGAGGTCTTCTAGTCCAACCGTCTGCTCAAGCAGGAAACCCTATGCCATGGTTTAATTTCTAATGCTGTAGCAAAAATGTGATGGATTTGGGATCCAGCTGTATGTGCAGTAACATCCTCTAACTTTTTCCCTAGATACTGGTACCTTGTAAAGGCAGTCTTTCAAACAGCATCATTTCAGCTTGCCAGTTTGACTCTTACATTCTTAAAGCAGCAGACAACAATTTCCACACTTTGAATGGAAAGGTACGGACAACAGAAATAATGGGAGCCAGTTCAGACTTGGATGAATAGTGTTTCGGCAGTAAACAAATTCATTCGTGATGCTCTGAGAAATGCGACAAACTATCAAGATTCAATTAGAGAATTTAGTAATCTGTTTTAGGCTGCATTACCTAGACATGTTTGTCTGGAAGGATGGTAATTTCCACGGCTGGTGATTTTCAGGGCTAAGATATTTCAGCTGTAAAATTCTGAAAGTCCATATGATAGTAAAAAAAGATTGTGTTTTTGGTATATTTTGCTATATTTAGTGGCTTCCTGAACAATTGCAGACCAGGTATGATAGCCATCGTGATTTCAATCTTCTTAATCGTAATCTAATGATATTTTAGCAGTTATTTCTCCTCATGAGAGTAAATGATCTGGTAGACTTTGTCTATTTTTAAATCTTGATTTAATTTTGGACATCTATAGATACTATTTTGGGAATATTGTTGGCGCCTCTGAGCCTGCAGGTCTTATGTTGCTTATGGTGGTGTTTTTACTTTTTGCTCTACTTAGTTATTGAATTTTTCTTTCTCTCTCTTTCCCTATATAGGAAGTCTTTATACAAGGAAACATGATCATCCTTGGGGGTGAATTTAACCACCGTTGCTCCATACCTATTCTATTTGAGGAAACGTTTTATAATGACAGGGAAGAGAGCTTTAACATCCTTTGCATAGCTCATCCTCTAGAAAAACATGAAAATAAAGGTAAAGGTTTTTCTCAGCACTGACCATAGGTGCTTGATCAGTTTTTGAATGCCTCCTCTCTCTATATGAGTAAACTATTTTTTCAGCCTGAAAGAGAATCATAAAAATACAATAATGAACCTGCAGGAATGAAGCTTAAATTCTCTACACAGTTATGAGGAACAATTTATCTGCAGCTAGGTTCACCCATTGCATTCAATCATAACATGGTTTCATTGAGTTTTGGCTTGGCTTGAATGAACCCGGCCATCTTGGTGTCTAAATTTTGTTTGGTGCTGTGGAAATCCAGCTAATTGTGGCTTAATCAACCAACCATGTTTAAGCAAACCATGACTTGGGGTAATGTGTCAACAAGTCACAAAACAAGGAGACTCCAGGAAGAAATTTGGCAGTAGAACCATCTTAGTTTGTAAACCTTTAATGCCTGCCTCTATGAATTTCACTGTGTGAATTGTCCTCTGATTCTTGGAGGGAACAAAAGAACTTTTCTGTCTGCTGACCAGCGCTTTCCCATTTCAGAACCACCCTCAACGACATCCAACTCTTACTCCTTGAAAAACATGGAAGATGTGAAAGAATTCTTGGGAAGGCATGCAGAAAAATTTGATAAAGCCATTGCATCTTTCCACAGGACTTTCAAGGAGCATGACAGGAAAATCCTGCGGCACTATATAGTTAGTATTTCCACTTCCAATAGATTTAATACTTAACTGCGTATGACAAAAGGATTAAAACCATTAAATTAACATTTTCCCCGAATCTTTTCTATATGGGGAAGGAGGTATGTGGAAATTCTGGCCATGGCATATTCGTGTCACCTAAAGTATGTTGCTTTCTTTGGAAATGAATCAGTCATATGCTGGCTTGTGTAAGTGGAACGATCCTGCAAGACTTTTGTTTACAAAGCATTTGAGTCGGGGTATAGCTTTAAGTGTTAACATAATGTTTCATGTTTATTAAATTGATCTATCTCACTCTGAAAAATGACTGGGCAGCTTTTTGAGAGTGCCTCAGATGTATCACTGAATGCAGTTTGTCCTCGAGTTATGACTACCATTGAGCCCAGAATTATGTTGCTAAGTGGGAAATTTGTTGAGTCGTTTTTATGACTTTTTTGCCAGATTTGTTAAGTGAATCCCTGCCGTTGTTAAATCAGTGGCACCGTGTGTTAAGTGAATCTGGCTTCCCCTTGACTTTGCTAGTCAGAAGGTAACGGATAACAGATAATCAGAGTTGGAAGGGACCTTATAGGTCATCTAGACCAACCCCTCGCCCAAGCGGGAGACCCTACACCATTCTGACAAATGGCAGTCCAATCTCTTCTTGAAAGTCTCAAGTGATGGCGCTCCCACAATTTCCAAAGGCAAAAGCTGTTCCTTTGGTTGATTGTTCTCACTGTCAGAAAGTTTCTCCTTAATTTCCAGGTTGAATCTCTCCTTATCCATTATTTCTTGTCTGGCCTTCGGGGGCTTTGGAAAATAGCTTGACCCCGCACTCCTCTCTGTGGCAGTCCCTCAAATATTGGAAGGCTACTATCCTGTCTCCCCTGGTCCTTCTCTTCCCTAGACTGGCCATGCCCAGTTCCTGTAACCGTTCTTCATATGCCTTAGTCTCCAGTCCCCTAATCATCCTAGCTGCTGTTCTCTGTACTTTTTCTGGAGTCTGAACATCTTTTTTATAGTGTGGTGACCAAAACTGGATGCTGTACTCTAGGTGTGGCCTTACTAGGGCTTTATAGAGTGGTATTAGTACCTCCCTTGATCTTGATTGTATCCCTTTGTTAATGAAACTTAGGATTGCATTACCTTTTTTGGCTGCTGCTGCACACTGCTGGCTCATATTTAGCTGGTTGTCCACTAAGACCCCAAGATCCCTCTCACAGTTACTGCTATTGAGCCTGGTTTCACCCAGTCTATATGTGTCCTTTTGTTTTTTCTTGCCTAAGTGTAGGTCTCAAGAGGTCATCACATGACCCCGGGGGACGCTGCAACCATCATAAATATGAACTAGTTGTCAAGCAACTGGTGACCATGGGGACGCTGCAATGGTCATAAGCGTGAAAAATGGTCATGTCACATTTGTCAGTGCTGTTGCAACTTCGAATGGCCGCTAAACAAACTTGTAACTTGACTACCTGTAATGCACACCAGTGGTTCTCAACCTGGGGTCCACAGATTCCTGATGTGCCGTGATGTTTTCATGAGGTCCATGAAGGCTTGAAGAAATGTTGTGATTTAAATCTTGAATTAAGTCTTGGTGGTCCGTAGCTGGTCTGTGGCCACAAAAGGTACTTAAAAGGGATCCATGGTGAAGAAAAGATTGAGAACCACAGATGTGCATAGTTGCAATGTTCTTTTATACCTCTCCTATTATTCTGTGTAATTATCCCAATAAGACTTGGCTGCTATTTTTAAATGCTTGATTATTCCTAGCCCCCACCCCAATTTTCTCCATGCACTTTGCTTTGATCTTCAGGATTCGGTGAACGCCCTCTACACCAAATGCATCCAGCAGCTGTTGAGAGATTCCCACCTTGTAAGTACAGATGTGTGCATGTAAACATGTGTGGCTGTGTGTTTCTTAGGCAAGCCTGTGTGTTCATTCTGCTTTCTTTTCTCCCAAATAATTCAGAGAATGCTTGCAAAGCAGGAGCTTCAGATGAACCTGATGAAACAAGCTGTGGATGTGAGTATCCTGGATGGTTGTTAGGATCTGGGTTCCCCCTCTTGAGTAGACCTACAGAATGCTTTCTTTGCTTTTTATTTCTGGGTACAGATGTATGTCCATCACTCTCTCTATGACGTCATCTTCAAATACGTGGGGACCATTGAAGCCAGTGAGGTAGGTTCCCAGATGTGCCTTGCCAAAGTTATGTTGGGAAACACGGGTAGTCCCCAATGCTGGGGATGTAAGAATCATTGCATCGTTAGGGAGGGTCCAAATTGCATCGAATGGACATTCCTTGCAAAACTCCCATGTGTGATTCTTAATTTGACAACTTCTGCATGAGAACTTGGTAAACTAGGGTGAAAAGTTCCTAGAATTAAAGGGGTAAACCTGATCTAAAGTATTGCCCTGGATCTCTTAGAAGCTTTCTCCAAGAAATCCTAGAAGTTAGAAAGGACGGCATTCTTATTTATATATTTCATATTTCCTAACCATCTCCCTTGGAGAGTAGCTCTGGCCAGTGTACAATTTAATTCTTGCAAGAAGGTGGTAACGCATCCATTGCCCAAAGATGCCCATCTACCAGCTTTTCAAGCCATGGAGGAATAGCTTTGTCATTTTTTTTTTGTCATCACACAACAGATACGAACTAAATATAAACCACTCCAAACTTGATTACAGGAAGTACAATTTCAGCAACAGAGTAGTCAATGTCTGGAACTCAATACCTGATTCTGTTGTCACCTGCTCAAACCCCCACTCCTTTACCCTCAAACTAACCTCTACTGACCTCACCCCATTCCTAAGAGGTCTGTAAGGGGAGTGCATCAGTGCACAACCACGCCTACCGTCCCTGTCCCATTGTCCCCAATTATTAGTTCCTTTTTCATGTATTTAAACTTATGTTTATTCTTATTTCTATTGTATTGTAAGCGTTTGACAAAATAAATAAATAAAATAAATTTTAAAAGATTTGCTTGGAAGGTAGCTTGCTTTCAAAGCAGTGGGGTGGAGCTGCTGTACCAGCCTTGGTGATATATTAGTACTGTTTCTGCTTGAGGCTTTGGATTATATTAGCTTCTTTTTTTTTTTAATCCAAAAAAACAGAGGTTGACTAGTAGAGTCACGGGAGCTACGGTTGCTCAGGGGTGCTAGGTTGGTAAATGAAGTTCTGTTAAAAGCCTCTTCTGCCAGGATTTACAGTGATGTCTTCCCTGCTTAGGATGCGGCTTTTAACAAAATCACCCGAAGTTTACAAGACCTGCAGCAGAAAGACCTGGGTATCAAGCCTGAGTTCAGGTGAGTTCTCCACTACTTTTTAAAGGGTTTTCATAGCACAGTTTTGTTTCATTTTCTTCCTGGGAAGAGCAAAGAAAGAATGGATAGATAAACTTGGGAAAACGGAGACAGCCAACTTCTTGCTTCTTCAAAAAAAGAAGGGAAGGGTTCATGCCTTTTTTATTAGAGGCTTTCACTGGATCTCATTATGTAACCCAAAGGATGCAATTTGCTATTCCTGCTTAAAATAAGTCTTGGCCTAACCTTTCGCTCATGGCTGCCTTTGGGCTGTTAATTCATTTTGGATATATGAACCCTGAACCTGATGCGTACAGCAGCATTTACTTCTAGTTTCTGGCAAGAAATATCCCATTGGGAACAAAGGGTTTGCTTAGCAACTGCCAACTTCACTTAATGACCACTGCAAAAAGGTTATAAAAATCAGGCATGATGACATGATGACCCGCTTAAATGCAGGCTCAATTTCAGCCGTGAGATAATAACCTGGGTACCTTTTGAGAAGTTATTTCTTTCTATTTTGCCCCTGTTGCGGTCTAAGCTGTTTTTTCTTTCTGACGGTGCTGGTTTCAGTTTCAATATCCCACGGGCCAAGCGGGAACTGGGGCAGCTGAACAAGTGCACCTCTCCACAACAGAAGCTCCACTGCTTGCGCAAAGTGGTGCACATCATCATGCAGTCTCCAAGTCAAAGAGGTGCGTCACTGTGGGGAGGAAGTCATGAAGTTTCAAGGAGGTGCTTCTCTGTGCTCTTGAAAGCACCCTCCTCCACGAGCTTTTGAATCAGGTTCCAGATTTTGCTTTGCATTACTTCGGAAAACCGAGGGCGCGACTTAACTTTCGCGTGGAAATATCTTTTCCCTGTATGGAGAAATGCAGTGCGGAGATAAAAATTACAATTCGCTAGTAGTGCTTGAACCTCTGGAGTTTCTTTGAACGTTTCGCTTCTCATCCAAGATGTTTCTTCAGCTCTGGATGGTGGGGAACGGAAGGATTTATACTCCTTGCAGACAGCTGGTCATTTGCATTCTTTTAAGGCCACCTGGATATTTATCTGTGTCGTCATGATCCAGGTGAATGCAAATGACCAGCTGTATGCAAGGATATAAATCCTTCCATTTCCCCACTACCTAATAGGAGCTGAAGAAGCTTCTTGGATGAGAAGCAAAACATCTTCAAAGAAAAACCAGAAAGTCCAGTTGACTCCTGAAAAAAAGCATCTTTGTGACAACCTGGGTTACGGAGAATCTCCATAGACATTGAACCTCTGGACTTGGTGTTTTCAAATCCTCTTAATCCTTGACCCAACGGTGACCGTTGGAATAATTGGGGAATTCTAGGAGTTGAAGTGCACTCATTTTCAAATTGCTAAGGCTGAGAAGCAATGTTTTACAGGGTCATGCTAGCAATAGAACTTATATACCACTTCACAGTGCTTTACAGCCCTCTCTAAGCAGTTTACAGAGTCAGCCTATTGACCCCAACAATCTGCATCCTCATTTTACCCACCTCGAAAAGATGGAAGGCTGAGTCCACCTTGAGCCGGTGAGACTCGAGCTGCCAAACTGCTGGCAGCCGGCAGTCAGCAGAATTAGCTGCAGTACTCCATTCTAACCACTGCGCCACTGTGGGTAGCTTCATGGGAGAACAATGCTCTTAAGCCATTTCCAAACTGCTACGAATTACTGTATTATTAGACGAGGCACTAATTTATAATTTTATTGAGGTTTGGCATTGTCGCTCCATAGGAAATCTCCTGACATGTTTCTAGGTGCCTAAATTGAGATACTTTTTTCTAAATAGGGTGCTTTTCTTTTCTTCTCTCTTTCCCCTTTCAGTTAACATGGAAACTATGTGTGCCGATGATCTTCTTTCTGTGTTGCTCTATCTCCTTGTGAAAACAGAAATTCCTAATTGGTATGTAACCTGTTTTCCCCCGTTTCAAAGAATTCTATAAAGAAGAATATTTGTAGCTCCAGGTTGAAATGAGGGGTCCTTGGTGCTCTCTGAGCTTGTTTGTTTTATTGCAGTTCTTTCATTACCCAAACTAACTAACACCATCAGTGCTCTGATAAAACATCATTAGAGAATCCTCCTTGAACAGGACATTATAGACACACTGACTAAAATAATATTCTCACTGAACTCGGAGCTCAAGTATTGCAGTAGCTTCTACATGGCGATGTTCTTGGAAGCCACTCAGAAGCTTCAAATGATCCAGAATGAGGGGTCCTTGGTGGTCTCTGAGCTCGATTGTTTTCTTGTAGACATTTCATTGCTGAAACTAAGTAACATCATCAGTGCTAGATGATGATGATGATCAGTGGTGGGATTCAAATTTTTTTACTACCGGTTCTGTGGGTGTGGCTTGGTGGGAGTAGCATGAGAAGGTCACTGCAAAATGTCCATTCCCTCCCCACCCCATAACCTGCTTTCCAGCTCCGTTCTCCTGTGCAGGGCAACCAAAGAAGACCCAGCCGATCAGCTGGGACTCAATGGGAGGCAGAGAATAGACGGGGGAGGGGCCAGTCAGAGGTGGTGTTTGCCAGTTCTCACAACGGCTCAAAATTTCCACTACTGGTTCTCCAGAACTGGTGAGAATCTGCTGAAGACCACCTCTGATGATGATGTAGCACTGATGAAATAATGTCATCCATTCCAAGGATAACAACAGTAATATAATAGCAGCAGCAGCATCCAAAAATGCCAATATCTTCTGAATACTAAACAGTATACTTTTTTTTTTTGCTGTTTCAGAGCATCAGCAACTCCTGCAGTTTAAACATGTACCAAAAACATTTTTGGTACAGATTTTGAAATGTGTACAGGGTGTTATGAAAGAGACCTTGACCATTATTTGGCGTGATATGCAGATAGAAACGAAACATCTGCTGCTTAACTGCTGTCTTTCCATGGATTACATGGATTATGTGCATTAGAAATATACTCAGGTTCTTGGATGTCAGTTATAACTTAAAGCTGATTTTTAATTCTTTGTGTTTTTGACTGTCAAAACCAAGGATTAAAAGCTCACACATTTTCGTACGTGCGCACCACACAGTACCCAGTGGTACTTCTTCAGAGTTTTGTACTAAACACATTGGGGCGAGCTTTATAGCAGGGTGATACTAGGCAAAACTAAAGCTCAATAGCTAAATGTTATTGGACCATATTTTCTTGAATGGATTATATAATCAATATATGCAGAAATGTGGTAAGTGCTTGAATCCTGGTTTGGTTTTTCATGGTTAGACAAATTCTATTACTCTACCATTTCATATCCTGGTGAATCTGGGCACAAATGTTTGATCTCAAAGACTGAAGTACATCCCAAATGTTGATGACAGATAAAACTTCAGGGCGCCATTTTGATTTCCTGCATTCTGATTGAGTTCACATACTCTATTAAGCCATAGTGTGGTTTGCTTTTTTGTGTGTGTGACACAGTGTGTTCTGGGAAGCTTATGGTTGAGACCTGTGATATATAGGTTAAAGCATTGGATGAACCCATTGGGTTAACCCAACTATTTAGTAAAAATTGCTGAAAGGCGTATCAAATTTGAATACAGCCATAGCGTGATTTGGTTTTGGCCTTGTATGTTGTACAAACTCAGTTGTTATGGTTAGTAAATAGAGCTTAGCAAAATGTGCAAGTCCAGCCAGTAAGACTGATTTAAGAATATCATGGCTTTGTGCCATGGGTGAACCTATCTTAAATTTTTCTTGGATCACCGTGATAATCAGGATGGGCCTTATAAAACAGAAATAAGAACTGTCTGGTTCCTTGCAATGAGTAAGCTCAGAACTTATCCGAGTTGAAATATAATACTTGTTTATAACTGAAGACTCGAGCAGAATTAAAAACAAGTATCAGAAAACGTCTAGGTTTGTTTAATGAATAGAAATTGGATCCAGTTGCACAAATTGTTTCTTTTTTTTTTGCTTCCTGAAAATTGCTTATGTAGTTTTTATTCCCTGTCTAGGATGGCAAACCTGAGCTACATCAAAAACTTCAGATTTTGCAGCTCAGCAAAGGATGAACTGGGATATTGCTTGACCTCAGTTGAGGCTGCAATAGAATATATCCGTCAAGGAAACCTGTCTGACAGGACACCGGTAAGTCCCTGTAATGCCGTCTATCCTATCCCAGCCTCAAAATCTCTCTAATAGTGTTCCCTTTTTGTAGGTCTGCAGGATTCTAGCCATCATGTAACAGGAATCTGGAGAGCTAGCTCAGAAACACATTTCATTTGTCAAAGCCAGGTTATTATCCTGTGTAGGCCGCTCAAGCATTTTAGCAACTGGAGCCTTAGGCTGGGGAATTATAAAGGCTGATATATATATAAAAAATCCGTCTTTGATCTTGTGCTTACAAAAGAGCATGTTGCCAAGTTTGGAGACCTCTGGCCTATGTCAACAATTCATGGAGGGCTTTTCAGAGATGGATTTAAAAGTACCATTGATTTAGGATTACAGTAGTTGGGAGAAGTCCTTTTTTAAGAGTTAAAAAACAGTCACTTTTAGTTTTCAGCTTTCTGGGCTTAGTCAAATCATTTAGAGCCTTGCCGATGCATTAAGTGGAATATATTTGAACAGCTGTACATTCTGGGCTAAGTGAGGGAGAGTTGAAGTGCTAAATCCACAACCTTTGTGTGTCAAGACATACAGCTGAGTTACAGTGATTTTCTGCCAGCAATAAATGGTTTTGCTTGTAGAAGTTGTGGTCCCATGTCACTAAAACCATAGCAGATATTGCAGAGATATTTTAGAAAGCACTCATGCTTTTGAAAGGCACTCTGAAGATATTTTTTTTTTAAAAAAGCTGATGGATAAGGTAAGCAATTCCAGGTATTTTCTGGAACGAAGGTAGAGGTAGCTGGCAGATTTTAACCATAGTGGTGGTTATTTTTTATCTTCAAAGCGTTGCTAGATATTTCATTACTATAGGTCATCCTGTCTTTTCTTCCAGTTTATGCCATCTAATAAAAATCTAGCAGCTTTAGCTGCATTAAAGCTGAAAGTTGGATGCAGTGTTATAAAGGAACTCTTTCACAGCATTTAAGGCATAGTGAAGTTAATTTATTTGTTCAATTTCTATGCCTGCCCATCTCAATCAAGAACTCTGAGTGGCCATAATTTTCCCTTAATGGACCAGGGATTTAACTGACCTGTTACTATTCCTTTTTGAGACTGGAAATATTCTTACAGCCATAAAATCATTACCTCCTGCTCCTTTTTTTGTACTTGTTAGGGTGTTTGCAGAATAAAACATATGTCTTAAATCACGTGGAGGTCTAAGGCAAATTTTCAGTATTACTGAAATGTCCTCCTCAGATGGGTTCTGGAACTGCCTGCTGCTAGAACATGGCTTATATCTTGTTCCTGAAGCCAGTTAGTGTAGTGCCCTTCTAACTTAGAATGCCTGTTGAATCTAATCGCTCTGAATGTTAGATAATTTAGCATTCTGGACTCTAAGCTAGTGTTGAATTTTCCATGTCACGAAGCGAAAGGTCTTCAAGACTCTCTTCCATGGTCAAAAATACGTATGTTGGAAATTGTAGCTCGTCAACTTTTGAAGAGCCACAAGTTCCTCATTTCTGCTTTAGACAATACAGTTACTACAAAGTTGATGATGACAAGAGAAACTTCCAAAACCTTAGGTGCTCCTGATCTGAATCGAAGCTGGAGGAGGTGGACGTGATCCCTGAATGGAAGCTGCGCTTGTGAGCCATCTACAAAGAATGGAACTTAGGGGTTTAACGGCTTGGTTTTTGGACCACTTGATGCTGAAGGCCTGGGGATCTTTTCTGGCAAACTCCTTCACTCCTCTTCTGCACTTTAAATCACTTTTGCAACACTTTCACTTTGTTTCTTGGTGGGATATCTTTTCAAGCAAACTTGCGCTGCTTGCCATTCCCTTTCTAAAATGGCAGAGGTGGATCACAAATGTTGCTTGTTAGATCTCAGAGCCATGTTAAATAAAAAAAGGGGGAGTGGGAAAGATGTGTGGAACAGAATTGAATGGTGGTTGCACTTATTAATAGTTTGCCTGCAGCTAGTTTGATGATCGTTCACAACTTGTTACTCTGCTAACTTCTGAAGAAGTTTAAGGCAAAAATGTGTTGGGATGATGGAGGGGTTTGCTGCCTTCTGTAAAATAAAACACATTGATAAATTTGAGAATGTGTGCAGTTCTTTAAAGTAAAACGAGTCAATAAAACATACCCAGTTTCCCAATACTTGTTTAATTTTTTGGGGGGTATTTTTGCCTAAACGCAACTATCTAAACCTCAGTTTTTAAAACTTATTTTGGACGTTAGAACATAGAACCCCTGAAGGGCAAATCATGAATGGCTATGTTTCTTTGCAGAAGATCTGGATTTGTAGTGTGCCAATTCCATGAGTTTCATGCTTCATCCTCTTTGGCCTAACTTGCATTTAAATCCTCAATGCTGTGCTTACATGACAGATTTAGTCATGATAACTGAACTGTAGTTTATTCAATCTATCTGCTCAGTGACAATAAAGCAAACTAAACTAAACTTAGGAAGTAAGGAAAATGTTTGGTCAAATATATGCTGGGAGCTTGCGATGCTGGTTTCTACCCCTTTATTGCTTGAAAATAACTTAAATCTTGTGAGGAGTCAGATTACGCCAAAATGATTTAGCAAAGTATTGCATATATCTCAATCTGAAAGTTGAACTAGTTTGGGGTGGTATAAGAAAAGGAAATGAGTAATATTCCTTATCAACTAGAATTGATCTAAGCTGACTTGCTAATGTCGCTTCATTACAAACTGGTCTGCAATTGGTCTTGATTCAGGCTGCAATTTTTCCAGAGATTTGAAGGGGGGAAAAGACAGGTATATAATCCCCTGGGCTATAAAGTGTGAAGGCTGTCTTCTCCAGCCAAGTATACACCAAAGATGTTGGACTTCAGCTGTTCATGGGCTGTGCTGTCAGGATCTGTTAGTGAATGACACACCTAGAAGGACCAAGTTTCTCATCCTTGACTCCTATGTTTTGTTGAGCATATACCCAAGGATTTCTGGAATCATCATCATCTCCTTTTAATGACCCCATAATCCCTTGTGGAGTGAAGTCTGGGCAACTGAATGGAGCTGAGTGTTTACTGACCGGATGCCCTTCCTGTTGCCAGTGCGGAGTTATATTCAGCAAATATATTCTCATCGTATCCAGAGAGAAAAATATCCACCTCTACCTAGGATCGCACTCACAGCCTCCTGAGTATGAGGCGAGAGCTCCACCTCTAAGGATTTCTAGAATAGCTAGCTGAAATACCCAGAGGTCACCAGGTGGCCTGTTCTAATCTGAAACATGGGTGAGAAATCTTCAGGAGATGAGATCCATCATCTAGATCAACACTAGCACAATGTGCTGAGCAAAAGCATCTCATTTGCGTTTAGCTTAGTGCAAATCAAACCAAACCTTTCTTATAGACGTAGGCCAGCATATTAGCTTAGTATAGAGGTGAATGGTGTCATTAGAGCACAGTTGATTACAAAATACATGCTGAGCCTTAAATGAATCACTGTGGCCAAGTTCAGACTTCATGGTAACTAGAAATGATGGTTTCCAAGCCAAGTAAGTTGACACATGACATACTAATCTAAAATGTAAACTTAGTTCTTTCTTCCGACTGGCATGAGAGAGACTTTCACACTCTACCACTGTTACAGCTTTCGTTCTCTTACCTGTTCAACATATCATTTCACAGTTGATTCGCTATATTTTTACCTTCTTGGGAGAGAATTACTCAACATGGTTGACCAAACAAATGAAAACAAATTTTATAATAAAATAAGAAGCAGTAGACAAGGGCATGGCAAACCTATTAGCGGTAGTAAGGAAGTTAAAATGGCATTTAAAAAGCGACTTACTACCGGTTTTCACAAAACTGTCACAGCTCCTCCATCGTCACATGATCAAAATTTGGGTGCTTGGGAACTGGTATGTATTTATGGCAGTTGCAGCATCCCAGGTCATGTGATCACCTTTTGCAACCTTTTCACACAGCTTCCATTGAGCAAAGTCAATGGAGGAAGCTAAATTAACAACGGCAATGATTTGCTTAACAACCATGGCAAAAAAGTTTGTAAATTTGGCTGTGATTTATTTTAACTGCCCTGGTTAGCCAAAGAAATTCTGGTTCCAATTGTGGTTGGAGCAATAGCACTTAGACATATGCCACTTCACAGTACTTTAGAACCCTCTCTAAGTGGTTCACATAATTGCCCCCAACAATTCAGGTCTTCATTTTACCACATCAGAAAGTTGGATGGTCAGGATCGAACTGCTGGCAGTCAGCAGAATTAGCCTGCAATACTGCATTCTAACCACCGTGCTACCATTGCTCCTTGTAAGTGAAGGATTACCTGTATCTATTTTTGTACTCTGTAAAAAATAGTATGAACATGGCTGATTAAAAACTCCATTGCAAGAGGACTGTTAAATGAGAAAATTTAATTACAATCCCTGTCTGAGAATGGTTACTGTCAATAAAACTTTCATCTGTGGCCACAAATAAATCCCTACTGATACAAAATTAGAAATAGGACCTTTTTGATGCAAGGAAGGCTATGTTCCAGCAGTCTGATTTTTAAATGAGGTTCTGACGTGCAGATGCTGCTCAAACTTTTAATATAAAACGGGAGACAATGCAGGGTAGTGGTTAAGATGTTGGACAACAAGCAGGAGGCCCTTGCCTGCTGCAGAAGAATGCTTGGCAACCTCAGGCTACCACACACCCTTCAGAATTGCATTGTAAGATAAAAGGATTCCTTAAGTATGTCACTTTGAGCTTCTCTAAAAGAGTCAGGATATACATCTAAACAATAACATAGTTGGTAAAAGAACAGAAGTTTCCTCTGATGACATTGCGGTCCTCTCTTCGGTGGTGATTTTATTTTTCTTAATGCTCACTTTTTTTTAGGATTCTACATATTTGTAAGCTTTTGGTTGAAAGATGGAATTCATTTATTCATTGGTTAGATTAAAACCGAAAACCCATCCTTCGGGGCAAGAAAATGGCTAGTGTTCAATTTTGAGAGTTAGGCTTTAAAATGGAATTCACCAGTTTAAACAGATCTGACATCTGTTAAATCAGTGGGAAAAAAACAGGTTTTGCAAATACCTGTTTTTAGTTAAACATTTCCAGTAGCTAATAGCTTCTCTCTCTTTTCCTTTTGTAGGGATCTGAAGGATTTAGTGAAAAGCTGTTCTTAAGACAAAGAATGAATCTTCTCTCTCAACTGTCCACCACCCCGATTGACTGCTTGTTTAAGGTTTGGATTGCATAGCTGTTGGATTAGCTCAGCAAGAACTAACTAAATATTATGCTTTTCCCAGCAACGGGCTGGAGGACTATCTCCACCACGGCTATATGTGGACTAAAATTGGGTGTTTTGGAATTATCTTTCCTGTGCCATTTTTATTATGTGCCATAATGGATGCTTTAATCAGAGTAGCATCACTCTTGGTGGAATATGGCTTTAATTATATATATTTTTCAAAACAGTGCCTGTGTGATTTCTCCTCCTACTTAATTATCTTCCACTGGGAAGAGGAGGCTGGAAGAGAAGCTTTCCTAGGAGTGATCTCTGTGGGCACATTATTAAAGTCCCCCTTTTTTAGTTAAATATTTAAACTTTAATGTGTTGAGAGTTTGTTTGGAGCTGATTATGGCTTTGCTGGCAAGAGAGAAGTTGATGAATCAGTTTGATGTTATCCTTTTATTGCTGTTGAAGTTGTATGTAGGATTTTTATTTTTTAATCTGCTTCTTTGGGAATGTTGTAAATAGAGAGATGAATCCACACTTCAATCCACATTTTCAAATGAAGTTATGTGATCCTAAGAAAGGGTTTGGTTAACCCGTTCTGGGGTAGTAAGTCATGTTAATAACATTAAATATGTTTTTTATCAGAAATAACAGAATAACAAAAGTTGGAAGGGTCCTTGGAGATCTTCTAGTCCAACCACTTGCTCAAGCAGGAGACTATACTATTCCAGACAAGTGACTGTCAAGTCTCATCTTAGAAGCCTCCAAGTATCCAAATAATCAGTATTTTTTGGACACCGCTCCTATCTTGTTAAATGGTGTAATTCTTACATTTTAAAAATAGCTTATGGAAATGTATCCTGGAGAGCAAAGCTTTAATCTCACACCTGCCTTTTCCTACCTATTTTTTTTCCAGGTATATTGGAACCACAGTTCCAATAGGACTTCATATAGCAATTGGAGGAAATTATTTATGCCTGTTCAGCTTGAATAAGGCATATTGTTCTTGGGAAGACTTGAGTAGACATCTGTTAGTTTATACATGTTAGGAATGTAAGTCACTTACATACCTCAACAATACAGTTTAACAATTACAGAGATGTCACAGTGGATATGCAGTCTAGGATAGACAATAAACTAGGGACTTGGGATGGAAATACACCGACTCTTCTACAATTGCTGTGATGTGAGAACTGACCTTGAGTCCTTCTTAGGGTTCTCCAAGGACTTTCTCCTCTTCTGGTGTTTTCTCTGTTTGAGTTTTGGGTTTTGAGCCTGCCCAGATGTGTCTCTCTCTCTCATTCTTCTTTGCAGCAAGTTGCTTCAGGCAACCAAGAAGAAGTAGAACGCTTATTGAGTCAAGGAGACAGCGATAAAGATGCTTTGCAAAACATGTGCCATCCGCTCTGCTTTTGTGACAAATGTGAGAAGCTAGTTTCTGGGTAAGAGTATTTTTTCTCTCTCTCTCCAAGAGTTTATCCCCAGTGATTCAGAATGAAAGTTAAGACATTTGATTCTGCCTTCAGTGGCTTAATTCAGATTTAATGCCAGATTTTGGTCTGCATGTGCATGAGGATTATTCAGGAATTCATTCAGTCATCTTCATAAGGCTTAGTAAGATATGCCAGTATTATTGTTTGTCGTAGAGTTCAGACTGGATTTGCCATTTTTATCCACCTATCGAGTCCTTCCCGAGGACCTAGGATACCCAGGTGTGGGTGTTTGATGGTGTTAGAGGTATCGGTCGCAGGATGTAAGCTGTTCCAAGTAAAGCTGCCTTTTGCAATTGACAGGTGGTGAATTTGTCAATGCCGATGGTGATGCCATTATTTTTAGGAGGAAAGAATTGAAGCTGATAGAAGAGCAAGTTCAGAGGACAGCAGAATTATAATGGGTGGCCTTGCAACCACCGTGTCCCATGTTATAGTGCTTCTTGTGGACAAAAAAAAGCTGTGAGGATATTAAAACACTGGTATTCTGCTTGAGTTTGATTGTGTCTTTTATCATTGCTTTAAGGAAGCTGAATGATCCTTCGATTGTTACACCATTTTCTAGAGACGATCAGGGATTTACTCCACTCCATGTAGCTGCTATTTATGGTGAGCGCTGCAATTTTTTTTTTTTTTCATTTTTCAAATGTTGTGGCCTTTTCCAATCCAGTGAGAAATCCTTTAGCTCTGTTAGTTAGGTATCTTGAAAGTTTCAATCCCTTTAGAGCAAAGAGCCCAGCAGAGCCCAGTCTCTTATGTTTTTCTTTATACTGTTTGAAACATTATTGGTTGGTCTTTTTTTGTTGTTTATTTTTAATACTGTTACATGTTTGGGTTTGCTTTATGTTTGGTTGGCCGCCCAGACTTACTTTACTGAAATGGGCAACCATATATACATTTGCAAAATAAAGAAAGAGAAGAAAAAAGCAAAATAAAAATATTTTAAATGCTATTTAAGAATTAATAATATGTTCTGTGTAAACCAGGGGTCTCCAACCTTGGTAACTTTAAGCCTGGTGGACTTCAACTCCCAGAATTCCCCAGCCAGCAAAGCAATCCTCTTTTGCGATCTTCTGACCCAGCAAAGCCAATATGGGAAGCCAGGTTCACTTCACAGCTGGGTGACTTAATTTAACCGCTGCCGCGATTCAGTTAACAAATGCGACAAGAAAAGCCATGGAATGGTGGCAGAGCTCCCTTATCCAATTTCTTGCTTTGCAACGTAAAGTTTGGCCTCCATTGTGGTAGTTGAGTATCTGTATCACAAAGTCTGCACAGGAAGGATAAGGAGAAAATCCTTACGCTCTCAGACCGATTCTGAAAACGCAACATGCTTTTTAAAAACAAAAAACAAAAAACCACAGCCGCATGCTATCCTTTGGGTGGTAATGAGCAAATTTCTTTCCTCCCCAGGACAAGCCCCGTTAATTGACTTGTTGGTCTCCAAAGGAGCTGTTGTCACTGCCACGGATTACCACGGGTCAACCCCCCTTCATCTCGCCTGTCAAAAGGGATATCAGAATGTTACAGTAAGCAACAAACAGTTTGTGAATCCTGTTGTGCTATGTGTAATTTCATGTTTATTTACAGACAGACACAAAGAACATCTACATAGGTGTTTTTCAGCGTGGAGTCACTCGAAAGCAAAATCTGGGCTCAGTTGCTTTAATAGTGGAATGATGGCTTTTTTGTTTAATCAACTTGGCCAAGAAGGAATTCTATTCTATTCTATTCTATTCTATTCTATTCTATTCTATTCTATTCTATTCTATTCTATTCTATTCTATTCTAT